TAACAAAATCAATTCGTTGATCCCTATTCATTCTGATCCACGCAAAAATAAAAATAATTGTTATCACCAATTAAAAACACGCTCTCCCAAATTAATCGGTGATATCTGTGATAGAATCATTATTAAATAAAATTAATCATTAATAACTTTTAAAAATAAAAATAAAAATAAAACATTGTTTTTATTTTCTTTGTTTAAGGCACTTTGATAAAAACAACAAGTGTAGTTAGTGCCTTGGTAAAAGGTAACAATTGTGGGAGCTTTGGTAAAAAGCCACGCTTATTTGCTTTAGTTAGAAAGCAAGCAAGGTTAGGACGAATGTTGTTGGTTAACTAGTGGGTGTCAATGAAGTATTATCCAATGGTTGGTTAATCAGTAATACTGGTAATATTATTTTAATTGTAAATGTAAGGCTGTTAAACAAGTTACTTGAGTTGTTTTGTAAATAAACCAAAGGGAGTTTGCAATTGGGCAAGAATATAAAAAGGATAAACAATCAAAATAAATTGGTCACAAATAAATAAAAGGAACTTTTGAGCTTTGTAAAGAGCTATCTTTATTTGTTTACTTACAGTTATCACTTATTAATGATAAGCATTAAATCATTGTGAGTTGCTTGCAATTAACTAACAAGAGTAACCCAAAAGTTAAGCAATAATCAAAAGACTACCTTGCAATATCACCATTCAACAAGAAATCAGAAAACTGTAAAAGTTTATTATAAAAAATATTGAAATAAAAATAAAAAGATAAATAATTATTACAAATAAATTTATAGTAGAGATTAAATTCAATTCTTTCTTTTAATTACTATAATCTAATGTTTATTAAAATCAAATTGTTAATAATAATTAATGGATAATAATTTCCAATTAATAATAATGAAATTTTTATTCACCTTCAAAATCCAATGAACTGTCATTAATTGTATAACTTTTAAAGCATTTTGATCTAGCAATCTCTTCATTTAATATTTTATTTGTATGGTATGCATCTGGATGTGATTTGTGTATTTGTTGCAAATCATCACCAGCACCAGCACCAGCACCACTGCTGCTACAATCATTATCATGAATCTCTTTATGTTTATCTTCAGCAAAGTCCCGAAGTTCTCTACTAGTTGGCCTTTTTGATGGATCCACACACCAACACCTCTGCATCATTTGTGCATAATCTTCAGGCATTCCTGGTAATATTGGTGGTCATAAACTTTCTTCACATATATCAAAAAATTAAACAATGATCATGAGCTCTATCATCAAATGGTGGATGACCTGCAAATATTTCCTACATTAACATTCCAACACTATAGATATCGGATTCTTTGGTGTTCCTTTTTCCTCTAAGTAGCTCAGGTGCAACATATGATACAATTCCATAGATTTTATCTGATGATTTTTCATCAACTGATCCACATAATCCTAAATCTGTAATATAACAATTACCTCCTTCCACAAGTATATTGCCACTATGTAAATCACAATGGATTAAATCTTTTTGATGTATATCATCTAACGCATCACATAAATATCTAAAAATTGTAATTCTGTCTTTTAATGTTAAATTTGAATGATTTTTTTGTAAATAATCCTTTAAATTTCCTTCTGGTAAATAATTTAAAACTATTGCATAATTTCCATTGTCTGAGAATTTAGTTACACCATAGCAAAAAACAACCATATGTGATTTAACTTTACAATAATTCATTGCCTGAAAATAAATATAAAACCAATTAGTATTATATTATATATTTTTGTATTAAATGACAACCAACTACCAACCTCATCAAAAAATGGTTTTCCTGGATTATTTGAATCATTTAAACTTTTTAATACTACTTCTTGCCTTCCAAAATAACTAAGTTCTTTTTTCTTTTCATTGTAATCAATTATTTGTCCTCTTGTCCATGTAGCAGTATAAATTGAACTAAATCCACCTTCAGTTAACTTTTTTATATCTTCAAATTGTTCAAAAGGTATCCATTCTAATATATTGCTTGGTAGAGATGATTTCATTTGGCATTTTTGGATAAAGTTATCAACAATGTTATTTCCAGATGTCCAAGTGGTGAAAAGTCTCTGCAATTGTAAGCTAATACAACCTTCACAGTATCTATCGGAATATCTTGTTGATTTACATTTTTTACATTCTTTTGGTTTTCCAAATTCATCTTTTGCATTATTTAATTCAAAATCATAAATAAATTTTTCTTTACAATATTCTTTTTCTTTTTCAGAAAGCTCCTTATTTTTTTTGACTAATGAAAAAAAATATACTTTTCTGCTTCCTGTATCAGAATTAACCACAGCATAATTATACATTTCAATGTAAATTTTAAATATGAATTCACTTCTTTCTGGTGATAATAATGATGATAATCTAATATATGACATTATTTAAATTTTAAAGTTTAACTTGGTGTTTTGTTTCAATAGAATGGAGATTTTTGAGAATAAGAGTTACATTGTTTCCTTTTTAACACACACAAAGAAAATATAGTTTCGAACATATTGTTTGCGTAACGTTTTCTTTTTTTTTCTCTGATTTTGGAAAACGTTTGTTCCACGAGAAATGTTCTGAATAATTCGTATCGAAATCTTTTACATAAACATTGTGTTCCTCAACTTTTAGCAAACTAAAATGTTGTGATCAAAATCAAAGGGTAACTAATCGTTTTTTTTTTCTTTTTTTTTCTTTTTTGCTGCGCTGGCTTGAACAAAACATTTTCATTTTCCCAAAAATGATTAATGGTTATTTTTTACAATATTCACGCCTTGGTTATTATAAAAAAATAAACGCGCAAATCACCATTACCATCTATCTATTTGTCATGCTTCATGCAACCGAAAATTTTTATCTATTTTTGTTCAAAACGCCAGGATTGAGAGAAGCAGATGCTTGACTGGAAACCGTGTTTCGTTTTTATCCCCCCCGTGGTGTCTACCGTTGCCTATCGTTAGGTCTTCGTCTTGCTCTGACGTTTCGAACCGTACTAAACTGATAGCCTTCCCTTTGCCTCAGATATTTTCTGGTCACTGGACCGAGATTCAAAAGCACCTTTCTACGTTTCTTATCGGTCGATTTTAATGATCGATGAACAAAATACAAATTTTTTTGATTGTTTGTATTTGAATTAAAAAAAATTCTTTGGGATATGTGAGAATTTTTTTTTTTTTTGATTTTGACCGTTTGAGGGATGGTGTGATAAGGGAATTTTTTGGCTAAATTTCCTTTTGGAGAAAACAAATAAATCTGGTGGGTTAATAATTAATTAGTCACAGGACATACGTAAAACATATATATTATTATTATTGAATCACGATTGTAAAAAATGTTGTACGAAAAAATTGTTGTTCACGTCATTCAATTCTCCGCTCCACAAAGAAAAAAAGTTATTCTCATTTATTAAAACATTAATTCAAAATTTTGTAATGTCACATACTCAATTATTATCATCGTTATCAACAGAAAGAATAGCACTTGTATTTAAAATTTATAATGGAATGCATAATAATGCTAATGTTAATTCTGATGGAGAAAGTAAAAAAGATTATTTTTTTCATTAGTCAAGAAAAACAGAGCTTTCTGAAAATGAAAAAGAATATTCTAAGGAAAGATTTATTTATCAGGTTGAATTAAGAAATGCAAGAGATAAATCAGGCAAACCAAAAGAATGTAACAAGTGTAAATTGACAAAATACTCTGATAGGTTCTGTGAAGGTTGTATTAGTTTACA